GCGGTTCAGTGTAGAGCTGGGTGGTTTGGTAACTGATTATTAACAAGAAAAGGTGGGGGATGGGAGGAGGAGAGGCAGACACACTGCTCTTTTTACTTTGTCAGATTCCTCTAATGAGCATCTAGAGACAGGCCCAGGAGTGGCTTCACAGTAACTAGAAAGGCCACAGTAGTAGAGATTAAAAAAAAAAAAAAAATCACACTAGTACTTGGTGCCAATTTTCCTACAAAAACATAAAGCAACCTAAAAACAACTGTTGCCTGACCAGCAGGCAACACACACATAAGACCCATAACAACAAAACCACAATCATTTATTAACCAAAACAATCTAGCCAGCAGAGTCAACTCCAAGCAAGTATAGCGCACTGAAAAGGCACAAAGCATTCAATCCAGAGAAGACTGGGCATATATAAAAGGACACTGTCAAAGAGCTGAGCTCCCGTCTGACTTTCCACCAATGATACAGCAGAGTGATCTGCTAGGAAGAGAACGCAAACAAACTCACACACACACCAGTTAATGGTGTTTTTAATTCGTTTGCAATTATAGAGTGAAAAGCAATGAATGATATTTAAATACTTGTTAGCCCTTAACTAATAGCTTATAGTCACTCCTCAAAGATGTTTTGACAATTTTAAGATTGACAGAAAATTATTTATGTACCTACTTCATGATCTACCATCACTTTAAAGAAAGTCACTTAATAAAGCACCAGTTTAAAACCCTATTTTTGCTACTCCTCTTCAACGGATGACTAAGTTACCTACTTAAAAGCATGCAAAGATCACTGCCTTCACAGTTGTTGGTGAAATCTTGCTGGCATGAAGAACAAACCCTAATCTTAAATAGCATTTTAGGCTGCAAAAAATAGGTGGGGTTTCTTACAAAAAAATCTTCAGCTTGTCTTAAAAAAAATTCTAAGGCAAAATTAATTAATAGTGTAGTGTAAAAAGTAAGCTTATTTTTAGCATTTAATAGTGTCCACTTAAAAGATAACATTCAATTAATTAAACTGAGGAAAACTGAGTATTTTTATTTGTAACTGGTTTGTCAGTATGACTATTCCCAGAGTATTTTCTTCTGTTCTCATTTTTATACATATAAACACAAACATTTAATCTTAGTATTCAAATGATTTTTTAAAAAAAATCCATAATCCTAGGACTTCAACTGTGCTTCTTTGGACACATATTTATTCAAACAACAAAAAATTTAAATTCTTTTAAACTATTTTAATACCTACTAAAAATCTTTGGTGCATTTAAGTAAAAATGGATTAGGTTAACAAATTCCTACATTTGATAAATTATTCAATTTACATAATAAGTGCTAACTGCTATCAACTACAAAATTAATTTAAAACAATAAATTATGCTCATAAAATAAAAAATTCTGCATGAGGCTAAACTTAGTTGCAAGATTCAAAATTTTAAGTATAAAATTTACAGAATTAATGGGTTTTAGAGTTAATGGAGCATTTTTTCAAAATGCTCCAAATCACAATGTGACAAAAGGTTAACTGAAAAGAGCAGGCCTCATTTCATATTTTTTGTGCCAACTTCAAAAACTTATATACATTCAGTTTACTCAAATCCATGAGGTTTTCACAACTGCAAAATTTCGTATATTCTAATTTGGAAATTAGAGGCAGCAGATTTGTCTGTTCACCCGCTGAGGTTATTTCTTCTTAAGAATTATACTACCTACCTCCCAAACTGTTTTCAAGATTACATGAGAAAACGCAGTGCCCGGCACCTTGTAAGCATTCATTAATGCTCCATTTCTTTCCCT